CCTCTGTGAGTTGCCTCCAAAATCGAGAAGAGAAGCTCCCATGAGTCTGGGAAATGCCGGTCATATGGTCTACAGATGGGACCGTGTGAGACAGCGGGAGAGTGAATTACCACGTCCAGGGAATTTTCTCTCATCTGTCAATCCAGAAACCCGAGGGAGACGGTCAACGCTTTCTGAAAGAGGCCCTGGCTGCATGGATGGAGGCAGGCAGATGGGGAGAAACGGGGTGGGGTGCGGGTGCAGCCCCGACTTGGCAGGTGTGCGCACCTGACTCGGGGCCAGCCACCCCCTCCTCTTCCAGAGAACGGGGCAGAAAGGCTGGGGTCTCTGCCGCAGGCCCTGGAGAAGAGCCCCGTCCCCCAACGCCGGGGGCATCCAGAGTGTCTCACCATCATATGGGAATGATTTGGGGCTCTGGGTTGCAGGGATCTGGGGGTAGGAGCAGGCTAAGATTTCCATAAACACGAGCACCGAGCCATTTATGGGTTTTACTAGAAATTTTATTGGCGTTTGGTCGTGTTGGCATTGTATGTGCCTTCAAATGTAAATTAGATTACTGGCAGCAGATTCAATTTAGCGGTAAAAATGTAAAGGGGGTCGGATTGGGCTGAAGATGAAACAATGCAAGGACTGTTCTTGGGTCGGCAAACGGTGAAATCACCAAGCCGGCAGGCGGAGCAGAATGGAGTAGAAAGGGGCGTGACATGAAACGGAGGCGAGGCAAGAATCACCGCCCCCACTGGCCCCACCTGCGGGAAATCGGATGAATTTGGTCCATGTGGTCCCCGGTGTCTCCACCTTCCTCGGAAGGTACCAGGCACAGTGCAAAGGCCCTCGTTTTGTCCCCCCACCCCCCCCCCAACACACAGGGGAAACACACTGCACAGATTTTTGAGGAAATACCACAATTGCAAATTTGAAGACAGGTCCGCAGGTCTAGAAGCTCAGAAGGTTTAGCTGGGGAGTTAACATCACTCAGAACTGAGGTTTATTGAGCACTTACTCCGTGCCAGGCAGGTGCCAAGTAATCTTCCAAACAGTCTTGGAGAGGTGCAACTAACAGGTCCGTTTTCCAGACGAGGAAACCGAGATGGAGAGGAAGTGATTCAGCAAGCTCCTAAGTGACAGAATCAGAATCCCAGCCCCAAGCCTGTACACCTGACCGTGACATTTCAACTCTCGAAAGAAATACAGCATGGGCAGTGCCTGCGCCTTTTTATTTTTCGCATCTGTATGGGCTAACGGAGGGTTGTATCTGTGACCCAGAAGCTTCTCTGCTGGGCTCCCTCCCTTCTCTGCTCCCTCCCGCCAGGTGCCCCTCTCCTCTCCATCAGCTGGGACACCATGTGTTTTAGTTCCTCTGGATTAATTCCAAGAGGTTGATCAGTGAATTGAATAAATGAACCCAAGCTCATGGAGCGAGGTGGGAGAACGCACCAGGGCTCCGCCCCCCAGGGCATTTCCCAGGGTTTGGGGTCACCAAGCCCTGATGTCCTGACATCTGGTCCTTCATCAGGGAGGGCATCACCATCGCGGGCCACTCAAGCCAGACCAGGAAGTCACCTCTGCCCTTCGCTGTCTCCCCGGCCACAGTGTCAGTTCTATCTACTCACCGCCTTCATCCCTGTGTCCACCTCCAATGCTTCCCCCACCCAGGAACTCGTCCCTAATAGCTCAGCTGAACATCTGGGACAGGCTCCTGATGAAGAACGGCGGAACTTAGGGAGTCGGGCTGTGCAAGTGGAGGGAGCACTGGAAGGGAAGGGACCCTGGGCAAGGTCTGGGCTCCCATCAGGATGCCAAAATGTCACTTCAGGAAGTCCCTATAGGAGGAAAACATGGCATGTCCCAGCAGTGAGATTGGAAGGGCCAGCTGAGGCCAGGTCATTGTCAACTGCTCTAATGGTGGGTATGGGGGCTTGGGCTTCTTTCTGGGGGTCTGTTCAAGACCCGATGAGTCCAGAAGAGGTGAATTGTATATCAGCTTCACTTGCAATCTGATTCATTGAGTGTTAACTGAGCACCGACCATGTGCCAGGCCATTGCCAGCTCTGGGAGGAGAGCATTGAGCGAGGCAAGTAGAGGTGTCACTTCTTGAGCCGGAAATCTAGATGAGCAGCCAGAGGAGCCCTCTCTGGGGTGAAAGAGTGCCCTAACACATGAAAATAAGGCTTATCTTTGCATAACAATTTGTATAATAATAATGTACCATTTTATTATTCTGTCAGGCACTGTGCTGTGCTGCGTTTAGTTGCTCAGTGGTGTCTGACTCTTTGCGACCCCATGGACTGTAGCCCACCAGGCTCCTCTGTCCATGGGGATTCTCCAGGCAAGAACACTGGAGTGGGTTTTTATGCCCTTCTCCAGGGGATCTTCTCAACCCAGGGATCGAACCCAGGTCTCCCACATTGCAGGCAGATTCTTTATTATCTGAGCCACTAGGCACTGTACTAGCCCCTGACCTTCATAAGGACCCTGCACAGTGGGCGTTATCCCCACTTCACTGAAGAAGACAGTTAGGCTCAGAGAGGTCCAGTGATGGACCCAGGTTCACCCAGGGCTGCAGAGACTCAGCCAGGAAGCTTAGGGATGTTGAAGGGGTCGCCTGTCCTTGAAACCATGGGCTTCCTGAAGGGAGGATTGGGTCTGACTGTTCTCCACCATCCTCCCAGGGCTGAACTGATAGCTGCTCTGATAATTAGGGCTGTAGCTCACCCTAAGCCGATGGAGAACCAGTACACGGGGGCTCATAAATCATGGACCTTTACGAAGACGTGGCATGGAGACGCAGTGCCTGGAGCCCCAGTTCCCTCTAACGGTAGATTTCAGGTACGGTGGCAGGTCTGGGGGAACCACGTCTGCAGGCAGAAATCCTTGTCAGAAATTTTCAAATACCTCCTTTTCATGACCCTCCCCTCCCTCCATAAAAGGATGACTGCTTTGTTCATGAAATGGTCGTGTCCAGAGGAGGTCTGTAGTCAGCTTGCTTTTCTGCAGCAGACCTGGGAATCCGGGCTTGGGCCCTGGCTCTGCGATAAGTGGTCACGAGACACCAGTGGAGTCATTTTCCCATCAGGGGCCTGAAGCAACCTGCTTGTCCCATAGAGGCCTACAGGTAGAGACCTGAGTGACATGCTTGAGATGGCACCAACAGGGAAGGGAAAGTGTCCACCTGAGGACAGGACCAGATGCAGAATTTGCAGGGCCTGGGGAGAATGAAACGCAGGGCTCCTGGCTCAAAAATTGGGGGGTTGGCCAAAAAGTTCATTTGGGGTTTTCCATAAGGTGTTTCGAACTTTGTTCTAATGTTTCACATCCAATATTAGCATTTCAAGATGGCAGCTGCAGGGCACTCAGTGGGCTTTCCATGTGGGGCTCTGTGTGTGGCCGTAAACCTAGCCCTGATGCAGGAGACTGTCCTCAGCGAAGCCCTGGACGTCCCTCTCGGGGGCGGGCAGTGTCCTGATTTCCAGTGGGTCAGCATTCCTCTTTGTCTCTTCTGTCTTCTGTGGAGGCTGAGTCATTCTGAAAAACCAACATTCAAAAGACAAGTAGTGGTTTCAGGCCGCGGTTGTTCAGAGAACAAAACTTTACTGGTTAAGGGAAAAATAACGTAAAGATGCAACCGCTGGAGGCAGCCTCCCCAAGACTCCCTGGGGATCAGGCGAAACCCTGGCCCGAGTCCATCTGCACGTGCTGCCTCGCTCACCAGAGCTCAGGTCCTGCGACGGGCACTTCCTTGCCCCGTGAGCTTGGCCAAAACACTTCCTCCTCCAAGGCTGCATTCTCATGTGAAAAACTGGTGGTGAGGGTAGAGGGAGCTGGGGGTGGACCCGATCGTGGTTTCCTGCCCCAAAGTCTTCTTGCTTCTCAGAGTCTGTCCTATACTGACGTCCTTATCCGTACACCAATTTATCTAAAATTCTCCTTAAATTCATTAAAGATTTTTATTGTATCTTTTCCCCAACCGGTGCCCCAAGTGGGAGTTCATGACATTTCAAGATTAAAAATGCATCCAAGAAATCCTGAATGTGACTGTGGAAAATCTGGAGAAGCCATCAGTCTGGGATTAGCCAAGTGAATTCAGGTTTTCACACAAGGCGAGACTGTAGAGCTGCCCTTGAATGAGGCAGCACAATGAGAGGCATAGAAAGATGCTGAGGATGTATGGAGGGGTGCATCAAACAGGCTTCAGGTGGTATGTACGATATCCTTCTGCTGGACGGCAGAAAACACTCATGTAACATTTCAAATGTCCACTATATATAGCCATAAAAGAAGACGAAGAGGAAACGTGATGATTTCTAGGCAGTGGGACTTTGTGCTCTTCATGTAAATGATACACGGTTAAAGTAAACACATATTACTTTCGTAACGACCAAAATCGATCGGTGTTTGCTGATTGTATTTAAGTTGTTCATCTCGGCTCTGATATTTTGCTCGTCTATCTCGTGACTGGCTTTAGGAGTAGACAGATGCGGGTGGCGGGGGGTGGTGTTCTCTGCCAAGAGGAGGTGGTCTGTTAAATAGCTTGATCTGGTTTATGGGGTTCCTGCACACAGCTCGGCTTGTCTCGACGGCCCCCTTGGCACTTATGGGGCACCTGCCATCACAGACGTTCAGGCCAGCCTGTGAGTTTCATGGTTGGACATGCCCCAGCCACTGGTCCCCAGGCCCCCAGCTCCGGGTGGCTCTGGGTCGGGGAGACAGCCTGGCCTCCCTACCGGGCCCTCCACCTGAAAGAGATTAGCTGGGACCACCAGAAGCCTGCAGCCCTAATCGCGGGGATTTTGTTTCTTGTTTCCTTGGACGAGCTCCTCCAGGTGTTGGGAGTGATTAGCCCAGGGCCAGGCCGCCAGTCACTGAGCCACCATTGTGTCCCCGGCCCTGCTCCCTTGCCACGTGGCCCTGGGGAATGATCCCCAATGAAAAATGGCCAGAGCAGTCCGCCGGGCACCTGGACCATTTATGGGCGGGACGTGTGAGGGCAAGGAACCCACCCAGAGGGCTTGGCGGCTCCACCTCGCGCCGCCGACAGTGGGGGTCACTGCTCCTGGCGCCTCGCTGGTCTCCTTTATGGGGGTGGGGTGGGGTGACACCTCCACTACGCAGGCCTGGCTCCGGGAGCCTTTTTTTCCTTCTGGTGGAGCTGGTTTCTGCCTTCCTGCCGGGATGGCCTCCGTAAATCCCCCCTGATTGCCACCGAGGACGCATGAGATGGTCCGCTGCACAGGGAGCTGGCCCGCGATCCAGCAGATAAAGAAGGATGCCTTCCACAGCATCTTGGGTTTCTCCGGCTGCCTCTTCCCTCCATATGGATGACGCCGTTTTCCCCTAATCATGCCCTCTCCACCCCCACACCCCCACTGAGGAAGGCGTTTTCTGAGTCGTGGAAGAGACCGGGAAAACCTCAGACAGAAAAGGCAGGGGGGAGCGCAGAGGGGTGGGCAAGTCCATCCTAAGTCATCCCCCCACCCCACCGCACCCCACCCCCACCCCCAGGGCTCTGGGCTTATTCTAACCTCACAGTTGCAACAGGGTTTTGAGAAGCAGAAAACACAGAAAGAGAGGAAGGAGGAAAGACAAAAGGCCAGAGGAAACTCCTGTATCTGACTCCCTTCCTACCCCCGCTCCTCTTCTTGCCAGAGCTGCTTGGAAGCCTGGGGAACCCACAAATCCTGGAGTCCTCAAACCGAAGCTCATGGGAGGGTGCTGGGGGATGAGAAGCGTTTAGATGGAATAAAGACTCTTTCTGGACTGTGTTCACGGCTTCCCTCAGATTCTCAAAGGCTTGCGACTACATTAGGGTTCAGAATCACTGACCTAGTTAAATCCCATCTTATATATGAAGCAGAAGGGGTGACTGTCTCCAAAATCATTAAGCAGGTAAGTGATAGGCCAAACAACCTGAAGTCAGGTTAGGACATCATTGGGGGTTGGCACCAGACTGGAAGCTGTGTCTTACTTAATCATAATAAAAATAGGAGCATCTGCTATGCATTGAGCACTGCTAAAACATTTTATTCTTTAATTCTGGGTGCTAAGTCTCTTCAGTTGTATCCAACTCTTTGTGAGCCCTTGGGCTGTAGCCCACCAGGCCCCTCTATTCATGGCTTTCTCCAGGCAAGAATACTAGAGTGGGTTGCCATGCCCTCCTCCAGGGGATCTTCCCAACCCAGGGATCACATCCGCATCTCTTACATCTCCTGCATTGGCAGGATGTTTACCACTAGTGCCACCTGGGAAACCCTCTTTAATTCTAGTAGTTCAAGATTATTCCTGGGTTGGGAAAATCCCCAGGAAAAGGGAAAGGCTAGCCAATCCAGTATTCTGGCCTGGAGAAGTCCATGGGCTGGATAGTCCATGGGGTCACAGAGTGGGACATGACTGAGTAACTTTCACTTTCAAGATTATTATTTTTCAGTAGCTCAGTATTATTATCCCTGTATTATAGATGAGAAAACTAGGACACAGAAGAACTAATGGCTGGTCCAGAGTCAAGCGAATAAGATGCAGAGCTGGGATTCTCAGCCAGGCAGTCAGCGTGCTTCCACCCACACGGTAGGTGCCCAAGTGAGGGAGCCAGAGCTGATGGTTGGGAAGAGCTTGCGTGTGCTTTGGAGATTTCAAGTCCTGTTCTGTTGTTTACTTCAGGACATTTCTTCCCACATCTGAGCCTCAGTTTCCTCATCTGGAAAAAGGGTGTCTGTCAGGTTTGTTGGAAGGATGGAATAAAATGAAGTACAGTGAGTCCCCTGCATGTGAACGAATTCCGTTCCCAGAGTGTGTTTGCAAGTCCAATTTGTTCGTAAGTCCAACAAAGTGAATCTAGGCTGGGATACTGGAGTGGGTTGCCTCCTACTTCTCCAGGGGATCTTCCCAACCCAGAGACCGAACCCATGTCTCTCCTGCATTGGTAGGCAGATTCTTCACCACTGCACCCCCTGGGAAGCCGTTTATTCGGCTCCGTGTTCATGTCCTCGGGCTGCTGTAACAAAGGACAACAGTTTGGGCCGCCTGAGCAACAGAAAGTTGTATCTCGTGGTTCTGGAAGTTTGCAGTCTGACGTCAGGTGTCGGCAGGGCCAGGCTCCCTCTGAAAGCTCCAGGGGAGAATCCCTCATGCCTCTTCAAGCTTCTGGTGTTTGCCAGCAGTCCATGGTGTCCTTGGCTTGTGTTTACATCCTTCCAGTCTCTGCCTCTTTCGTCTGTGTGTGTCTCTAATTCCCTATTTTAAAAAAAATTATTTATTCGTTGGGCTTCCCTGGTGGTTCAGATGGTAAAGAATCTGCCTTCAATGCAAGAGACCTTGCTTCAATCCCTGGGTCTGGAAGATCCCCTGGAAGAGGGCATGGCAACCCACTCCAGTATTCTTTGTTTGGCTGGCCCGGGCCTGAGTTGCGTCACGAGGGATCTTTGATCTTCCTGTGGCATGTGGGATGTTTAGGTGCAGTATGGAGGGAATCTAGTTCCCTGACCAGGGATCAAACCCAGGCCCTCTGCATTGGGTGCTCAGAGTCTCAGCCACTGGACCACCAGAGAAGTCTCTCTGCTTCTCTCGTTAGCTTATGAGCCAGGTGCATGATCTGACTGCAGTTTGTTTGCAGTAGCCTCACCCGGTGGCAGGGAGAGGTTGACTCAGAGTCCACTCCTGTCCCTTCCTGGCTGAAGCCACTCAAAAGCGAAGGGCATACCTGGCGGAGGGCACAGCAGAAGCAAAGGCAGGAAAGTGCAAAGACCAGCCTGGGCATTCAGGGACAGGGTCTTCAGGTTGACGGGCAATGGGGAGGCATGGGACTGGGGACAGGTCTGACTCTGGAGCAGTCTCACGTGTGGAGCATCCTTCCTCAGCATCTGACCCTTCACTATAACCACGGGGCAGATTGGGGTGACCCTGCCCTCCTCCTAGCATCTCTGAGCCCCTCCCCAAGCCTTTGGGATAAAGCTTCTATGTTGTTAGGCTCATGATATTAGGTCTTGGGGGTGGGAGGGAGACAAAGATTACTTTGTGGGCAGCCAATGGTGAATCTGCATCTGGCTGCGTTTAATCTGGGGAGATGTGTAGCTGGCTAATTCTTCTATAGGGGCTGCACGTGTACTTGGCAACTCCCTTAAGGACAAAATCCATGTGCTCCGCCCAAGCCAGGCATTGAGTCAGCTGGGACCTCGGAAGGAACCAGGGGATTCCAGCCTCCTGAGACCCTCCTGCTGGCAGTATACTCTGCGAGGACCCTGTCCCAGTTTCTGGGCCGAGTGCTTGTGGGAGGCAGTCTAGGATGGCAGTCAAACCTGTGGGCATGGGGCCCAGCATGCCTGGGTTCAGATCCCAGCTCTGCCTCTGCAAGCTGTGGACCTGAAGAAAGCTGGTTTAATCTCTCTGAGTTTTATTCCCTCATCTGGAAAAATGGCACTAATAATAACATCTACTTCGTAAAGTGATTAAGATAAAATGAGCTAAAAAAAAATAAATAAATAAAATGAACTGCTATGTGCCAAATGCTTAGGAGGGTACCAAGCAGCAGTATTCTATGACAGCAGCTTAAGTGGACTAAAACCAGTGCCATTCACCAGAGCAAACCCCTAACAGCAACCCAATGCCAAGCATGCAACCCTGGCTGAATAAACTGTAGAATGTCCTCACCATGGCAGACAGTGATGCAACCAAGAGAATGAGCAAATACAAAGTATAATGGGTCTTCACAGCAGAATACTGAGTTTAAAAAGGTACCTGAAACAATATCAAGTAAAAAAAAAAATTAAAAATAGGATAAGGTCCCAAAGACTGCATATAGTATGATACTCTCTGAATATAGTCAAATGCAAATAAAATAAAGATATTTTATGAGAATTCAAATAGATACAATAAAATGCCTATAACATGGAAGGCAAAGTAATGTGGGATAGACGCTTGGGGATACTATGGGGCAGAAGGACCACAACAAATGGTAATGATTGTTATGGTCTTGGATGTATTGTGAGTAGTGATTGACAGGCACTTATTTTGCTGTTAAAAATAACAAATTGAATGAATTAAATCAAAGTGTGCTATGCCTGAACTGGTGATGACAGATGTACTGTTATTCTTGACAGAGAATAGAAGAGTCAGAAAAGTGGGGGTCCCTGAACCTGGTATCTGTGCTGGGGCTCTGTAGGAAGAGGGATAGGGTGTCTATGACCATGGCTAGAGTAGTGAGGCCCTGGGGAGGAGCAGAAAGAGACAGGGCAGGCGGGGGCTCCGTCCCAGGGATGTTGGTGGAAGGGGCATGCTGATTTCAGCCTGCCAGGATGCTGACCCAGGACTGGTCCCATCTGCATGGTCCTGATGGCAGGCCAGGTTCCAGGACAGCAGTCACGTGAGTGAAGGTAGGTCCCCAGCCTGTCAGTGGTGTGGTGCCAGTGTAGCTGGGCAGAGTTTGAGGGACGGTGCATCCTCTCTGGAGTCTTGAGCAGCCCGCCGTAGCCTGGGTCCTGTTTGTGGTAATACCTCTGGGGTCGATCAGCCTGCACCAGCATTTTTATTTTGTGCCCATGTCGGGAAGGTAAGGGTACATTTGTCCAGTGGTGAATCCATCTGACTCAGAGCCCCCTTCTTCCAGTTTAACTTCCCCTTTATCATCGTGAAAATAAAAATTCCTAGACCCTCAAATGGAACTACACACATGATTTTACAAATCATAAGATCATAATGCCCTAAAGGTTAGATGAAAAAGAAATAAAAAAGAGAGGGATAGGGACCTCCCTGGTGGTTCAGTGACTAAGATTACGGCTCCCAGTGCAGAGACCCTGGGTTTGATCCCTGGTCATGGAACTAGATCCTATATGCCACAACTCAGAGTTCTCTTGTGGTTCAAATGACACAACTACAGTTCCCAAATGCTGCAACTAAAAAGATTCCTCATGCCTGCTGCAAAGAAGCCCTGTGTGCCATGACTAAGACCTGGGGCAGTCAAACAAATGAAATACTTTAAAAAGGTATTTCAGTAGGTAAATGCATGGGCTAGACGCCACTGTAGTCTCAATGAAGGCGTGGGGGTGGGGGTACTAATATTTACCAGGTGCATCACTGTTGATGTGAGAGCTGTCCCCAGAGGACAGACACACAGACCTTGGGCTGGCAGCTCACTTCTGATTCCACGGAGGTGGTTTTCTGAATGGAGGATGATTCTTAATCAAATTCTGTTGATTTATACAATAGTATCAGTCCAGAAAAACTCAGAACACATTCAACCTTGCAGAATAAACTGAGTTTACCCCTCTCATGGAGAAGGCTCTGGATCAAGATG